TTGGACGGGCTTGCCGGATCTCACCCAATTGAGGTAATGTTTAGTCTCAGTTTTTCATGGATTCAGCTGCCCATGAATAAGGGATTTGATTCGCTTTATCTGATCTGGAATTTCACGCAGATTAATTTTTATATACCATTGATTATATTATTAATTGTACTGAATTAAAGGAAATAAACAATTGAAAGTTAATTATATTGTCTGTCTATTTTAATCTTCGGAAACTATTTTTGCAGGTGGAGATAAATCATGCTCGCGAGATTGATGAGATATTTGATGCAATAAGCTATAGAAAAGGTGCATCTGTTATTAGGATGCTGCAAAGCTATCTTGGTGCTGAAAGCTTTCAGGTTGGTACTTAGCCTCTTACCACTTCCATAAAAACTGTATGTCCAATGCCAGTTTTTATGGAATGATTGAGAACCCACAGTGAACTGCTCATATGGGGATGATAAATTATACTCCCTTTGTTCCATTTAGTAGCTGTTAAGGTTTTTCTACACATACCAACTAAATAAAAAAAAATTGTTATTTTTTAATGGATTTTTTAATTATACCTTCAACTATTTATCATCTCATTCCACTTATTTCTCTATGATAAATAGTTAAGGGTATGGTTGACAAAATAATAGTTAATGTTGCATTGAACTTTGAAAATGACAACTAAATAGGAATAACTTTTTTCTACAGCAAAAGTAAAATATCATTGCCAGTTTTTTTATTTTGCTCAAGTTTGATTTTTCACTATGAATGGAGTGGGCTGACTAAGTAGGCTGCACGGTGTAGTTGGCAGGGCATCTTTTATGTATTCAATGACTCATATACAGATGTATTAGAATTTGCGTATAGTAATAAATTATGCATGAACTAAAACATGGCCAAGCTGAGTTATATATTGCACTTTTTTGTGATTAAATTCTCACATTGCTTTTTTATGTAACCAGAGGTCACTAGCTTCATATATAAAAAAGCATGCTTGTTCAAATGCTAAGACTGAGGATCTATGGGCTGCACTTGAGGAAGGATCTGGTGAACCTGTGAATAAGTTAATGACCACATGGACTAAGCAGCAAGGATATCCTGTTGTATCTGTTAAAGTCAACAATCAGAATTTGGAGTTTGCTCAGGTACCGTTGCATCCAACCTTTTCATTAGTTCCTTGTCGTGATTATTTTCAGAGAGAAAACCATTTATGTGTATTGTAACTTGGGAGCCTTGTATGTTTATCGGCAGTCGCAATTCTTGTCAAGTGGTGCTGAAGGGGAAGGCCAATGGATTGTTCCAATAACATTAAGCTTTGGCTCATATGACGTCCGCAAAAATTTCCTCTTACAAACAAAATCTGAAATACGTGATGTTAAAGAGTTACTTGGTTCCCCGATTACCGAAGATAGCAAATCTTGGATTAAACTTAATGTGGAGCAGGCTGGTTTCTACAGGGTGAAATATGATGAGTTGCTTGCTGCTAAACTTAGATATGCAATAGAGAAAAAATTATTATCTCCATCAGACCGGTTTGGTAAATTAGATAATCTCTTGACAATTTAGTTCCAACGGTAGAAGAGGAAAATACTGATAATTTGTGAGTTACTACTTTGACAGGAATTTTGGATGATACATATGCACTTTGTAATGCTCTCAAAGAATCATTGACCTCCTTGCTTAACTTGATGGCAGCTTATAGGGAGGAAGATGATTATACTGTGCTCTCTAACCTGATATCAGTAATGCTATCTTCCCAATATTGCTCATTAGTTACATAGGTTATTTATTGGATATAATTTCAGTTCTCTTGTTTTACAGATAAGTTATAAAGTTCAAAGTATTGCAGCTGATGCAGTTCCAGACTTACTAGATTATTTCAAACAGTTTTCTATTAATGTTCTCCAGTACTCTGCAGAGTAAGTTGGTTTTTATTGCAGTTAATGATTTTTTTTTTTAGGAATTAGAGTATTTCTGCTACAACAATCCTGTTTATATTGCTTTGCAGGAGGCTTGGTTGGGATCCTAAACCAGGAGAAAGTCATGATGATGCATTGTTGAGAGGAGAAATTTTGACTTCCCTTGCTCAATTTGGACATGATCTGACACTGGATGAAGCAAGCAGGCGATTCCAGGCTTTCTTAGAAAACAGAAATACTCCACTTCTTCCACCTGATATAAGAAGGGTTCGCTGCAGCATCATTTGAAATTTTGAACATGTAGAATCTTCTTATGTATTCTTCTTTTGATGACTTTTTTTTAATGTTGACAGGCAGTTTATGTGGCTGTAATGAAACGGGCAACCAAATCTAACCGGTCGGGTTATGAATCACTTCTGAAAGTATACAGAGAAACTGACCTAAGTCAGGAGAAAACGCGTATTCTGGGTAATGAAATATTTTCAGTGAAGGCATAACACAGTATTTTTGGGTCTAGATACTAATATTTTCTATGCTTGTAGGCTCGCTGTCTTCTTCATCTGATCCAGACCTAATTCTTGAAGTTCTTAACTTTATGTTATCTTCAGAGGTATCTAATTTTAAGATATTATTTGAACTCATAATACATAATTACATAAAAAAAGTTGACATATTATCATTATTAGTTTGGGGATTAATATGCTGTCATGTGTGTACAAGGTCCGAAGTCAGGATGCTGTTTTTGGACTCGGTGTCAATCGGGAAGGAAGAGATGTGGCTTGGGCGTGGCTTAAGGTATAAATTACACATCACAGTATTGCAGTAGTCATTTGGAGTTGAAATATTTGAATAGGGATGAAGTGTACTATTTTTTTTGGTTTAATTTTATAACTGTTAGATTCCTTTTAAGGTTTAGGAAATTGATCATTGGAAAAAGTTTAGTTTCATTGTTGCTATTCGGAGAAAACTTGATCGCAGAACTAGAGATTTAAATACTTAAATCCTTTGCCAAGATTTCCTGTCATCTGTCATAGTTTATCTCTAAGCCTAAAGAGCATGCTAAGATTTACTATGTGCTTTGACTTTTAAGAGAAAAGACTGATGGGGATTATGAAGTTTATTTTCTGTTAACCGTATTTCCTTTCTATCTTCAAGTCCTTATGGTTCTTTAATTTATACAGGAAAATTGGGAACACATCACAAAAACATATGGTTCTGGATTTTTAATAACTCGCTTTGTCAGTGCAACAGTCTCACCGGTTTGTCTTCTGCCTTTTCTCTGCTTTTTCCAATGTTTTTCTTAGCAATTTTTACACTCCCCTAATTCTGGAGTGTTGCATATAGTAATAGGATGCTCAATACTAATTCCATTTTCTTTCTGTTTTCTGTTGGTGCAGTTTACTTCCCTTGAGAAGGCAAAGGAAGTAGAGGAATTCTTTGATAGCCATCCTATGCCCGCCATTGTTAGAACTTTGAAGCAGAGCCTCGAGCGAGTTTATATAAATGCAAACTGGGTTCAAAGTGTTCAGAATGAAAAGGGTCTTGCTGATGTTATAAAGGAGTTGGCATACAGGAAGTACTAGGCCATGCTTCCCCTTGTTTGAACTATAATAATAATGGTTATGACTTTTCCTTTCTACGTTATGCGACTTTCGGAGACATGCTGTGTCTTTCAAAGGCCCAGAAACCAAGTAATAATAGAATTTCTTCTGTAGAACATATGATAGTCTGTTTATGGTGGACCATTTTCTGAATAATGCATTAGTGGACCGACTATAAAAACCGTGAGATATATAGTAATTTAGTGTGAACAGTAACCATTGATTGAATTTCAATAGTGCTTGTAGCTGTTCAAATTAAAGAGAATGACAGGGACATAAACAACACCCACTTTCACGTATGTATGCATTTATTTTGCGTTTCTATTTTGTCAAAGTTTCAGAATCATTATGCTAAGAATATGCTATCAAATCCATATAGCTCATTCACCAAAAATGTCCATGTCCATAGATAAGCATTATTGTTGCCAAGGATGGTCCTACTAGTGTACTAATATCTTTTGGATCTACAAGTCATGTTTATGAAAATGAGATAAAATTGTAAATGTTTCGTCGAACTTTTTCCCTTGCAAGTTTCAATCATTTATTTTTGGAATGGAAATAAGTCCAAAATCCATATTATGAGTATTATTATTAATTGATGCAACAATAAAGTAGCTGGGTTTAAGGACAAGTCTTGGCAAACAAGACAGTTCATTAGTCATTTTCATCCACGTTTGTTCCATTGCAAAACATGAAAGAATGACACTGGCCAACACGTAGGACCTTTTATCTTGTCTTATTTCCAGCAATCAGAATCAGAACAACAACATTCTTGGATATTTATGGAATCATCAACCATATCCACATAAAAGCTTATTAAAACGCTTATAAAATTTTTTTGCTGCAACACAAGCATGCTGAATATTTGAGAATTTTTTAGTGAGCATAATATCTTTGCTATCTCAAAGGATCTTTTTACTTGTTAAAGAGGAAGAAAAATATGCAACAAGGTCCACCTGTTTTTGATATTAAGAAACTTTGTCTAAAACTATACCCTCCACCATCACCATTACAGTAGTACAGTCCCCGATTCCAGGTCATGATCAAATTATTCTCGAGTTCATATATCCAAAGAAACATGAGTTTACTTAAGATTGTGCAGCATAACAGAAGATTATGACTGAAAATCACAGTTAAAAACCACAATGCCAAATAGCTACCACTTTTTTATAAACAGCATAGGTAAAAACTATATGAAGCAAATACCTCACGGAGCCTTTGTTCTCTAAGAGGCTTAAAATCGAATACAATATGCTGACGCTGAGTCGCCGACACATGTGAAAGACACATAATCCTATATCTACAATAAGCAGCAAAGATTTACATAGCCCCAATGCAGCAGTGTACAATGAAACTCTTAATCAATTGAAAGGGGAATCTATCATTTAGTGCAGAGAGCTCAATCTATGCGCCCAGATGAAAAATTACTGAGCCAAACTATATTGGATTGAATTCAGCTTTTATGTATTGAAACACCTAAGAGCAGTTCACTAAACAATCATGTTTTACTCTTAAATTTCCGTTGAGCTTTCAAATCTACCACGATGACAGTGATGTTATCTTTGCTTCCTTTTTGCGAAGCACGGTTCGATAGGTATTCTGCAGCTGCCTGTGCAGCAGGATCGATTCCCTCTCCCCTTACTGATGACAGCTCTGAGCCATTTTTCTTATGCCAGAGAAGTATGCGTCTACGAGCTAAGTCGCATGCCTCTTCATTCGTCATGACATCCCACAAGCCATCACTGGCCAGAATGAGACATTCATCGTCTTTTGCACGAGGGAGGAATGTAACTTCTGGTTCAGGAATAATCCATGGCTTCAAATATCGATCCCCTGAAAGCGACAAGAACGATGAGCAAAAACATTTTAGTTGAACTAAGTATCATACAAGCCTCAGTTGCAACTGAAGAAACATTTTATAACGGTGAAAGCTTGAAGTCAGATAAAGATCTTCTGGCTTTAATAGAATACTATAACGGTGAAAAACATTTTATTCATCACACAAGCCAATGCACTGGTAAGAAAGAGATATCCAACAAAACCTCTTTATTCCGGATAAAAATAAACTATTCTGAACTACAACTTTGAAGAATCATGAATTGTGTAAAATAAGTGATATGCATCACAAAACACTCTAAAATTAATAATTTTTGCAATCTTGATATGAACACCATTCTCCATAGAATATATAACGATGTAACGTACCACCTTTTCCATTCATTCATAAACTAAGATGTATATCATACAGATGCACTGAGAAGGAAGTCAAATAGAAACCTCTAATTAAGCTGAGGATTTAGTACATACCAATAGACCTTGACATTGCAAGAACCCCAAATACACGATGACCATTCCATTGTATTACCTTGCCACCAGCTGCCTCTATTCTTGCATATTCATCATCACGATTTGGCTATCATATCACAATCAGACATCAGTTTATGTAAATCAGTAAATAATTTTTTTCCCAAAGAATGTGCAAAACTATAATTGGAGAGGTAAGCTTACTTTATGATCCACAGATAAAGCCATGGGTTCTTTTCCACGGCACAAAACCGCTCTGGAATCACCACAGTTTGAAACTATAATATGGGATGAACAAACAATAGCTACAACAGCAGTGGAACCAACAGTTTCTGGTGCAACAGGTTCACAATTAACTTTCCCCCCAACTTCATTATCAACCTTCAAAAAACAATTAGTGAAAGCTTTTTTCCATAAATCTTGACAATCATCCTTGGGACCTCCAAGTATTAGACCTTCCTTGAACAATTCTACTTCCTCAGCTAAAGCTAAATGCATACGATCACGACAATAATTTGCCACCTAAACAAGAAAGCAAGCTCAATGTGAAGATTTGCAGACAGAAAAATGCTAAAAATTGGAGACAAGAACCACATTTATGTCATGTTTCCATAAATATCATAATTTGGCATTTATAGCAAAAAAATAAAATGAAGTCAAATTATTTTCTTTAAGCTATCATAAAGAGTTTATAAAATAAGTTTAAAACAACTTATGAAAATGACTATGTCTCAAGTCATTTTCATAAGTTCCTCCAAACAGTCAATAGATAAGCTCATATAAGTCAACCCAAACAGACCCTAAAAACAAAATAAAATTTTACCTGAGAGCCACCGTGGCCATCATATACTCCAAAGAAATGAACTGTCTGCTGATTAAAATCCTTGTTAATTCCATCATATTTCCTGTTACCATTTAGCATTTGAATAGGAATTTTCAACATCCGAGGTACAATCGCAACGGCATCTTCCATTTCAGGTCTTTTTCCACACAAAGATGTAAATCCCCAAAGTGGGGTACAATCCAATTCAAAAACACTCCGACCGACTGTTCCACCCACCCCTTTTTCAAGAGGTAGTTGATGAAGAACAGCTGCGGTAGGCACTGGGACAGATCTAACTCCTGTTTCGTCTCCAAGGCTCAATGCTACAGCAAGGGGTTCACTCATAATATCTGCCTCCAGATTTGAGTCGTCAAAAACAGCAGAGCTAGCAACAACTTCTACAGAAGAGATGTTCTTATCTATGTCCATCGAGTCTATCGAACTCCTTGTCCTAAAATCTGAGTTATCTTCTGAGCTGAAGAACTCATCTCCACAAACACTACTATTCTCACTAGCTATTGATAAAGTGCTGTAAATAATCGGGTCTCCATCTAATGATAACGAATCATCCTCATCAACTTCTGGGGCTAAAAGTTCATCGCTACCTTGAGATAACATATTCAACAAAAGAATATCCCCTTCTCTCCCATGCAAAGGTGGTGCGACTGCCGAAACACCAACCTCGCCTTCCAGATTGTTACCAATATGATCCTCCTCAGAACCTATAAAACTATCAGCAGATATCGTAGTTATAGCATTCGATATCAACTCTGCATTCGCCATCAACTTAAGTCTCGAAACATCCATATGAGTAGCTATAGTTGGATTATCACACACTGAATTATTTGCTCTTAATGGCACTGCAACCGACATTTCTTCCATCAGAACTTTTGTCTAGGTAATACAAAAAGTCACAATCCCACCCCTCTAATATCACACAGCTAGTCATATTTTAACGGATTCCCCAATCGACTTTCCTATCGAAAACAATCCAAGAACGCGGGGAGTAAATTCTACAAGATGATTTTTCATATCTAAGAAAAAACAGACTCAATCATCCAAAGCATGGACTAGTTAAAACCATACGGCGAAACTCAAATTCAGATCTTGCCAACAACAAGGCATCCGAACTTCCATTTTTCGATAATTTGACCAAAATAACTCTACCTTACACCTTTCCAAATACTACTATATTCCCATCTGTCAATCTGTGTAAACTCTAGTGAAAAACAAACTGCTTGAAAGCTGAAACTTGAAAGAAACAAACTTTATCTGTAAAAAAAAAAAAGATTGCACAAAAAAAGAGAGAGATTAAATCCTCAAAAACTTAAAGATAGATACATACAAATATATTAAATCATACAAGAAAGAAAGAAAAAGAAACCCAAGACACAAAAAAATATAAAAACACAAAATTTTCACATAAAATAACCAATTGCCTGGATCTGAGGTAACAATTATACAATAAAAGAAAAGTAAAAGATTTCATTACCTAATTAGATTCTTTCTGGTGTTCATAAATTCTGAATTTCCAGCTGAAATTGATGCATGAAACCATTAATTAGATTGAAGAAATTAACAAAGAATGAAGAAAAAATGAATTTTGGTGATGTGTGCATACCTGGGTGGGTGAGAGTTGGAATCGCCAGAGAGGAATCGGAGAAGAAGGAGAAGAAAGAGAGAGAAAAAATAATAATAAAAAAAGAAACTTTTTAATGAAAGGAAAATGGGTTGAAAAGAGAAAGGAGAGGGACACGTGTCGAGTATTGAGAAAGGTTGTAAAGCATCTCCACCCATCCATCCATTACCAATCAATCGTCACAATATTTTTATTTGTTGTGAATGGATTCATATCATATGCAACGCAACAGTGCATTATGTTTTTTGTTTTGTTAATATTGCTATATATGTACTGTAACATAATGTCACTAATAATGTCAACATCAACGATGAATTTTGCTATTATCATATATATATATATATATATGGAGACTTTTTAAAGTATATTATAAGGAAAAGGAAAATATTTTACTTAACATGAAAAAAGGTAAGATTGATGGTTAAAAACTAAAGCCAAAGATGTTTTAAAGGCAATAGAGAACCAACAATTCAACATGCATGCACTTGTCAAACAGCACATGAATTTTAATGTAGGCGTTGCGAGTATGTGTATTGCGGTTCTTGTGGTATGTATTATCATCGTTGCAGCATGAATTTTAATTGGGAGGTATTTGAAATATATAGTTAAAAATACTAAATGTTAATATTTTTTATTTATTGAGTTTGATATTTCTTAAATTTTAAGTTTTAATGAAAATATATGAAGAAATATGGGCGAAATTGTTTGATGCGGTTTCTAATAGCGGTCAGACGCATTGTTTTAATTCACACAACAATTGCGGTTTAATGCGGTTGCAGAGACTATCACATTAGCAATATTCTGTCTGCAATTGCGGTTGTGTACAACAATTTTAATCCATACTCTAAATTAGTAGGGATGACCAGAAACCTTAGTATTTTTATAGTGGTGAGGGCTTGTCCGCGGCGGCGAAAGACCTTGTTTGGTGGTGCTTATGGTGATGAGAGAGAGTCAGCTCACATGATGTGAAAAACTCTTGGTTTATGTGTTATTCTAGATAAGTTATGATTTGTCTTTTCAACTCAAAGGTTTAGGTATTTATAGAGGCACTTTAAGCCCAAAGTTTTGTTAGAAATGATAATTGTCCACTCAGTTAATGTTGGACCGTTGAATTTCTATTTCATAGGGAGATGTGAGTTTAGACTATTGATCATGACTTCTCTCTAATCGAGGAACGTCTTTTCTCGCGTTTTTCACGACTGGACGAGTAGAGAGCACTCAATGCGAGTCAACCCCCAATGACGGACGATATATAAAAGTCTCACCTTAACGGAGATTGGCACTCATCAACTCTTAAAAGGTCTTTTACAAATATATCACTACATAATGTGAGGGAGCCCCTAATGCGGGGCGGCAGATAGGAGTCACACCTTAATAGAGATTGACATGTTGGTGCAAAGATAGAATAATGAAAATAGGAAAATATTCTATTAAAGAGAATGACGGCAGAAGAAACAGGATTAAGAGTTACAATGATTGTCACCCTATTTATAGGCTAAAACTAGGGTTACTAGAATAAGATAAAATACTGAAATGCCCTCTAACAAACTTATGGGCTTAAGAAAATAATATAATAAAATATGAATTATTACTAATACCATCCCTTAATTCATATTCCATCAAAACTTTGTAACACCAATTCCATCCCTTAATCTGAGAAATTGATCAGTCTTGATAGCTTTCGTCAGAACATCTGCCAACTGCTTTTGAGTGCTGCAGTGTACAACTTCTAACACTCCATTCTGAACTTGATGTCTCAGAAAATGATACTTGGTCTCAATATGCTTGCTTCTCCCATGCAGCACTGGGTTTCTGGCAAGGTTGATTGCAGACTTGTTGTCAATCATCAACTTCAGAGGTTTGTCTACCTTAATCTTCAGATCCTGCAACAGATTCAGAATCCACACAGCTTGGCATGCAGTAACAGCACCTGCAATGTATTCAGCTTCACATGTTGATAACGCCACAACAGGTTGCTTCTTGGAACACCAAGAAATAGGACCTCCCAAAAATTTGAACAAGTACCCAGATGTACTTCTTCTGTCAACTCTGTCTCCACACCAATCAGAGTCTGAATAACTCAGAAGTTCTGACTCATTATTTCCTCCAGAGGGAAATAACACTCCATACTTCAGAGTTGCTTTGATATACCTCAGAATCCTGACAGCAGCTTGGTAATGGGACCACTTAGGTTTACTCATGAACCTACTAACCATCCCAACTGAGTAGCAAATATCAGGTCTGGTATTGCACAGATACCTCAGAGAACCAACCAACTGTTTAAAGGTTGTAGCATCCACATCCTTTCCTTCAGAGTCTGAATCCAGTTTCTGATTTGTATCAGAAGGTGTGACAGCCATCTTACAATTCTTCAGATCAAATCTCTTCAGAAGTTCTAATTCATACTTGAGCTGATGCAAAATGATACCTTTCTCAGAATATCTGAACTCCATCCCTAGAAAGTATGTCATTTTGCCTAGATCAGTCATTTCAAATTCATTCATTAGAACCTTCTTGAACTTGGCTATCTCCTGTTCAGAACTTCCAGTCAATAGTATATCATCAACATATAAACATACCAGAGTCATATTGCCTTCAGAAGTATGCTGAACATAGACACCGTACTCCATCTCACATTTCTGAAAGCCTTGCTTCTTGAAAAATGAATCAATCTTCTGATTCCAAGCTCTGGGCGCTTGTTTCAGTCCATATAGAGCTTTGTATAATCTGTACACCATCCCTTCCTGATTCTTTTTCACAAATCCAGGAGGTTGTGACACGTAAACTTCTTCTTCTAATGGACCATTCAGAAATGCAGATTTTACATCTAAATGCATCAGAGGCCAATTCCTGTTAGCAGCTATTGCAATCACCATTCTGATTGTTTCATGTCTTGCTACAGGTGCAAACACTTCAGAATAATCCAGCCCAGGTTTCTGTAGAAATCCTCTGGCTACCAACCTTGCTTTATGTTTGCCAATTGAACCATCTGGCTTTAACTTCTGCTTGAAAACCCATCTGACGCTGATGGCTTTCTTGTCTTTTGGAAGTTCTGTCAGCTTCCAAGTCTTGTTTCTCTCTATAGCATCAAGTTCTTCTTTCATGGCCTTTAACCAGGCTCTGATACCAATTGTTGGTGCAAAGATAGAATTTCTTCCTTACTTCCTTCTGCGCGTTTTTCTGTTCATCAGTTGCATCTGCTGCTACTGGAACATAACCATCAGTGACAAGATCCAGAACATCTTGAGCACCAAACAGCACACGCATCTGGATCATCCAACGATTCCAGTTTTTACCATCAAATACTGGAAGTTTGGTGTTCATGTTGCCGTTTCCGTTCATCTTCTACTTTGCACAATACACTCAGAGTTTTCTCACACAGTGTTTCCCAACCCACAGAATTAAAAAATTCTGATCAGATTTTGTTCAAGATTCAACAAGAATCTGAGAAACAAAATCAAACACACAAGACCTCACACGTTCACTCGTGTTTCCCGTGTTTCCCAAAGAATCTGAACCAGGCTCTGATACCAATTGTTGGTGCAAAGATAGAATAATGAAAATAGGAAAATATTCTATTAAAGAGAATGACGGCAGAAGAAACAGGATTAAGAGTTACAATGATTGTCACCCTATTTATAGGCTAAAACTAGGGTTACTAGAATAAGATAAAATACTGAAATGCCCTCTAACAAACTTATGGGCTTAAGAAAATAATATAATAAAATATGAATTATTACTAATATGACACTCCCCCCTAAAAGGTCTCTTATAAATATATCACTACACGGTTCTTAAAGCACAAGAACTTTTTTAAACAACAAAGTGTTTAGGGTGTCTGTCTGAGGGGATCCAAGTTTCTCAGGCGATACGTTGTGTCCTTTGGACGGAACTTCAAGTAAGATCCTGCATGAGAAAACTCCATGTTACTTGGGCATGGTGTTTAGATGAGCATGTTTTAATGGGTTTCTCAATAACTCAATGAAGGTGAGAAAAATACACAAGAATGAGAGGGTTAAATTGTGTTTTATGTTTCTTAACTTTGCCTCTAATCAGAGTTCAGAATCTAAACTGGTGTTCAGATTTTGATTGCATGTTGCAGCAAAATATTAACAGAAGCAAATAAATGATAAAGAACACACAAAGATTTATATCAGTTCCTCCCAAATGAGAGTAGTCCAGTCCCCTTGCATCACAAGAGATTTTCACTATAACCAAAACATGATTACAATCGCTTATGCAC